ACCTTTAGCCCCCCCCCCCCCCCCCCCCCCCCCCCCCCCCCCCCCCCTGGCCTAATTCTCATCGGTGCGCAGCGGGAAAGGCTTGCCGGCGCGATTCTTAGACGACGGCCAGAACTCGCCAAGCCTGTTCCGGCTTCTTAGTGGTGATGCCGTGGACGAGACATGCAGGGTGCGTCTCTGGGTAGAGCAGCGTGGCGACGGGGGGTTCTGGGAGAAGGAGGGCGGGAGGGACGTGACCCATCTCTCGCGCGTCTGGCCGCAGCAGCGGCAGACGGACAAGATGGGGGCGCCCGTCGAGCCATCGTCCGACGGCAGGAGATTCAGCGATGATGGCGGCAGCGGCGCAGGAGATGCCGATGGATCTCGGTTGTCACCGTCACCCTCAACTCAACCAGACCCCAAGGACAACTACGCCGGCGTGAGGCTTACCTGCACGGCGGACGTTTACCCGTTTCACCAGCAGTCGACGTTGGCCTGGGAATCGGCTAGCGACGAAAGCGCGCCGCCTACCGCCGGCTCACCGGTTTCCGAGGGTGATGATGCCGGTGACGAGGACGGCGCAGCCGCCGATGGCGCAAGCGGGAATGGACAAAGAATGCCGCCAGAAGAGCGCATCCTAGTTTTCGTCAAGACTCTGGGGCTGGGCACGGAAGAATCACAATCAGTAGCGGGGACATGGAGAGGCGGTGACGCCAACCACTGCGGTGGCGGGGCGGCGGCCGCGCCGCCCCCCCCCCCAAGTATCTCACGCACGCTGCCCTCCGGGCATCCAGCCCCTTGCGAAGCCTCTTCGAGCTAGCGGCGGCCGAGCTCGACACGGCCCTGGCACCAGAAGACCTCGAGGCGTACGTCGAGGACCTGCCCTGGGTCTGGCAGAGCGCGGTAGTGGCTACCGACCCGGAGATACACAACGCGGAGACGGCGGAGCCGTCGGGAGGAAGGACCGCCGCAGTCAGGCATGGTGCCTCCCAGAACGAGCGCTTCTTCGCGTGCCCGCCCCCGCCGACCTCTCCGGGAGGACCGCACCCGAGCCCGGGAGGAGGTGTCGCCGCCATGGCGGCAGCGGCGGCGGCAGCGGCGGCGGCGGTCTTGGCGGTGGCCGGGCAACGAGAGCAAGGCGACGGCGACGTCGGGGTGACCCTGGAGCGGGCCGGCCTGTCGTCCGGCGCATCGATCTGCTTCTTCCGCGCCGGGGACCGTTCCGCCGTGAGGCGGACGTACAACGCGGCCGTCGAGAGTCTCGTGGAGGAGATGAACATGCTGCTGAGGGGGGAGGGGCCGCTAGGGCGCGTCCATCTCATTAAGGTGAATATTGTTATTATATCATCTCTGATTTGTTTGGCCGGCAATGTTTGTAGGTATGCTCCACAAATTGGTGCTCCTGGCTCTTCTCAATGGCCGCGGCAGTTTGTTTCTTGTGAGTGGGAGTGGTGTCGTCATGTTGGTTGCTGCCGCCGGTGTCGCGTCGTTCGATTCTGCGGTGTCGTTGTGTGGTACGGTTGCACCGCTCACGGGTACCGGGTGCCGCCGCCGTGCAAGCGGCCGGAGGAGGGGACTACTGCTTTTGCACGTGATGGAGATGTTTTGGCCGTGTGACGTAAAACACAATCACGTTCAGCGGGCGGACTGCACCCATTCGCACGTCGTTTTGCATCGGATTGCGGTCGATGAGACACTTGCTTCTCCTTCAATGGGAGACGTTGATGCAAGCAATAGAGGTACAAACCGTCCGCACAATCCTCCCCCGTCTGTTGCTGCCGTAACCGAACCAAACATAGCTGGCGGAAGTGGTAGAGATTTGCGAATCTCTAGGGTACCAGGGGTTCAGGCCACGTATCGCACACGACCAACAGCGGCACGTGAACCCAAGGGAAACGTTGGAGTACATCGCTCAAGGAAGACAGCTCGCGTTCATTTGCGACTCATGGTAAGCGTCGCTAGAGGTTTTTTCCCTCGTGCAAATAAAGATGTGGAAGATCTCCCTAGCTGCCCCGCGTGATTTTGCGCTTTCGTTTTTCGTTAGACGGCAACCTTAGTTCGTCTCTCTTCCACCACCGATGTATGTTGCCCAATTCAAGGCCAATCCACACTGCGTGGGCGCTGAATTATGTTGACGCAGGACGTCGAATCTGCATATTAATTCCGCCACTCGGCGATGTCGATTCAATCCTACCCGACCAGTCTCGAACGAGCCAGTAGGGAACCAACCAAGGGGCCGCTTCTGCACTTGATCCATTCCAACGCCATCCATGCCCACAATATGTCGCGGACCCACTTGTATTCCAGTGGCACGCAAGACTTCACGGGTCCCCGGTACCACTGCCTGGCGTGCCCGGACTACGACCTTTGCCAGCGGTGCAACGCTAAGAAGGAGCCGGCTCCGCGCCATCGCTACCTCTTCGCCAACGGCCAGTGGAAGAGAGAAGCCGGCTTCCAGGGGCACACCGACGACCACGAGCTGGAGGAAATATTCACGGTCCCGGCCGAATGCTGTAACTGGCAAAGAACGTCTTGGTCTTCCGACTGAGATTCGCGCGCTGGGTTCAAATGTTTCTTAGAAAATGTAGAGAAAAAGTACGCGTTCAAGATATATAGAACCAGTTTTTTTTTTTTATCTAGGCATTTGAGGTTTGGCGTACGGGAGGGGGGCCCGCGGTCTGACGTGTTGATCGCCGTGCCGTTGTCTGCGGGCTTACGCACCGCTACGGTGGTACGAACCCGCGGTAAAGAAATGTCGATGTGTGCTCAAGGCTTAAGTCTTATGTACCTCGCCGCTGCCCAGAACATGTAGTGTACATGGTATCATTAGTGAAGGATGCGCCTCCAGTTTGTGTTTTATCGTAGTATTCTGCTGTTTACTTGGAAGTTGTTTCGTACCCATGGTATGCATACAGCATATTGGCCTGCCGTTTAACAATAACAATTTATGTTGTGTTCATGAAAATTCGAGCCTAACTTTCTTGACGTTGGCTGGCCCGTACAGATGTATTGGACTGCCAAACAGCCGGGTGTCCCGCTTTTTTGCATGATGGATTTGTACAATACCGTAGTGCTTTACAGTGCTTCCTCTCTGTGGACACGGTATTCTATATTTGTTCGAGAGAAGGTGCAAATGGTCTCGCTGTGGTACTGTAGTTGACAGCCACTCAACCGTAGGATAAGACCACATGCGTTGCGTCTCGCCTCACGGACATGGCAAAGCAAAACATCGTTATTCCTTCAATTTTTGCCTTCGTCTACCATTGTTTTCCCCTTTTGTAGAGTGAACGAAAAACTTGTCCGATCATTGCGGAGGCGGAGGCTGTTTGCCCCGGACAGGCAAAGGGTTAAGGACACCGTCACGGCAGTCAAAATGACAATTCCAATTGCGTGCTACATACTTTCCACGTCCTGGTGGAGTGCTGTTTGGCACGGCCGTCTCGACCCGAATGGAGTGAACATGAGGTGGCAGGCGGAGTCTATTCCGTGGCGCGAAATGTGAACGACTCACGTCTGCACCACATGAAGGAAATAGGAGGAAGGGAAACGGCCAGCGGGGAAAACAGCTGGATGTACCACGATGACGCAGCGTATGGTCTGAAGGGTTGCACTCTGAAACACCGGAGTTTACGAAGAGATACACGGTGCCACATCGACACAAACACGGAACGCTCTTTAGTTCTAACGATGGCATCCAAATGACTGCGGGATGATTCACCTCTTACAGATCGTCGAGCACGTTGAATCCGTTAACATGGCTCCTTGATCAATTGTAGATACACGATACTGCCGCTGTTGTGTCCTTTGATCAATTTTCTTCGTCCTTGGCTCATCGTGGGAACGCCAATTGTGACCGTGAATCAAGTAAAGACACGTTCATTCCAAGTGAAGCCGAAAGCTTTCTGTAAGTGCACTCCGTAAGGCGATGGCCAAACTATCATTGATTCGACATGGTTTCAACAAGACATACCCCTACCTCACGAATCGGAGAACACAAGGCCTACGAGTAACAACCTGGTCACATTTAACGCCAGTGGCCCGAATCACATTTTGCGCATGTTTTTCCAAGGCTGAGTCTGCACCATGCAAGAGGAGGTAGTGATTCCCGTTGGCGACAGTTATTATTCCGCGGGATTCCAAGGTACTTGATTGACATGGACGAGAAAATCCGACTGTTTGGTGCTGGCTCCTTGCGCGAGTACGTATTGAAGCGTCTAGCTAGTAGCGAAGGTCACCTATCACTACTCTCAACGTCGTGCCACGACCACGTTCATCGGAGGCTGGCCGCGGTGTGCCTTGCAAAGCCCAATTGTGCCCCTGGCTTGGTTCTTGCTTGCTCTTCTTTGGAGCAATCCGCGACTGTATGATAGGTGGATGTTGGCTCGGTGTCGTGGTTGACAAGAAAAGGATTCCTTGGACGAAAAAAGGACTGCAGACGGCATCGCGTACTGCAGCGCCCCCCCTCCTCCATAGTGCCACCACCAGCAGAACGCAACAAGTGACCCCAAAACCTCCCGAAACGTTGCGGAATATCGCGCTATTGGCCCCGATGCACCCGGCGTACGCAACCACACCACGACAAAGAAGACGTGTTGCGAAAGGTGTCATCACAGCAGTCGTGCTAGAGTTCTTCCTGAATACCAGATCCAACCAGGAGGGTTACTCCCATTTCCTCCTGCTGCGTCTCAGCGCCAGGCAACCTTCGACCTTGAGTAGGCGCACGGTCCCACCACGCCAGCGGTCAACCGTGTCACACACGTCGTGAAGTTGAGCACTGCATTGTATAGCACATGTCCAGCACTGCTGTCGAGAAGGCTTTCAAAAGGCGTCGGGGTGTTTCAACGCACAGCAGGAACGCGAATGCGCCGCGCTGCGCACTGCAGGAGGCATGCGCCAAGCCGTAAGTCCGAAACCGGCGCCACCCTCCCCCCCCGCCGCATCAACGCCTCTTGCCTCCCCTCTTTCCGATCGCGACTCCAGGTGGCAGAATAGCCGGCTGCTAGCCGAGGAATACACAATCACGGTGCATGCACGCGGCGGAATAAAAATAAATGAATAAATCAAATAGGTTGTAAGGCATACGAGGCGTTATGTCGCAGGAGCGGGTAGAGGGTACCTAGCGCAACATTGTAGGACACCAAGCACCGGAAAAACAGGGGCGTAGGACCTGGAGCTGTGCTAGACCTGCAGCCTGGACTTGCATCACACCGCGGTACCTCTTCGTCACCAGCCAGGCACACGGCAGCAACATAGATGGGGAGCGGAGCTTCACATAACACCAAATTTGACCTCTCTCTTGTCGTACAGAACTCCGGAGAGCGCACAAGCCGGAGAGAAGACACAAAACAGAATCAGCCGCCAAGTCCGACAGGAGAAGTACGCAATAACCGACGCCGCCGCCTGCATGGCCGACATCCAGTGCGTATATACCGTAGATCGCCCGTTGCGTACCTTTTCACTCGCCGCTTGCTTTGCCTGGGCTCTGGCGAGAGCGTCGAGCTTCGCTGTATCCTTCGCGGCCCCATCCCCGGACCCCTGACGCGAAACCACATTCGGGAAGGCGGGATAAGGGGATGGCCGACCAAAAACGATCTCAATGTTGCTGCAGGAAGCAGCTGGGCTACGGCGACAAAAAACACGAAAAGAGCAGCACAGCCACAGGGGGAAATCGTAGTCGTGCGAACCCACAACTATCTGAAGGCATCGCGTCGGTTCCAACGACAATCAAACGGCACAGCCATAGGGGGGAGGGAAGCGGCGTAGATCTCGTAGATACCTGTGCTCCGACGAACTTGTTGCGCTTTCGTCCTCGCTTGCCGTAGGCACGGTGTGATCGCGGAATCCATCTCTCGGGATCGGGCTTGGGAACCGGCTTGGTGGGATCGATCTTGCCTGCGGCGCGCAAGACAAATTAATGAAAACAGTCGGCCATCCCACAACACCATGAGTTCGTTGAAAATCTACATTCATTCATTCATATGCCCGCCTTTTATCTGTGGAAGAGGTGAAATTTCGGTGCTTTTGCAAGAAAAAAAAAACACTACCAACAACACCAACGTCATGCGACCAATCCAATACCAACAACCTCCTCCACTGCTTTCCCGTGGACGGTGAGACCCAGTTTGTGATCGCTTCTCTCGGCGTGTATTCAGATGAAAACGAGAGAGCACACGGGGAACGCTTCTTGTTGGTGGAGAAGGGGACAAAGGAGGGAGCGATAACAATGCAACGGATCCCGGGAGCTGTTGGTCACATACGGGGGAGAAGGTTGTAAAGCGGACACCACCACCGCCACCGACAACAGCGACAGCAGCGACACCAAGAGTAGCAGCAACACCAACTGACCGTCCTCCACGAGCTTGGCGATGTACTTGGCGCGCTTCTTGGCCCTCTTTTTGAGGATAGCCTCCGGGTTCCGCTTTTTCTGTCGCCGCTCGGCCTTCTGCGACGCCTTGTCCACAAGGACAAGCTTCCGGGCCTGCAATGCGAGGGTGTGAGGGGGGACGCCGGATACCAACCAACGGTAAGGAGGGCATCAACAAGGAATACCACAGGTAGAGGGATTATTCACTACTAAGAGATAGTTCTATCGGGGCAGGGTTTCCGTTTGCAAACAGCGGCGATAAGGACAAAAAAAAAGACACCTCTCAAAGACAAGAAATCATTCACACAAACGAGAACGTCTCTTGCCCCCCTTTACATCCGCCGCCGTCCCAGCGAGTCACCACATCATGCATGCCCGGCAGAGTAGTACTTACCAAAACCTTTACCACATGCCGAGCCCCCTTTCAGGACCGATCACGCACCGTCCCCCACCACCCGTCCGCCCCCCTCCGTCTCCAAGTGAGGAACCTCACCTACACACAATAAAAACACGGTGGGCTAAAAAAAAAGAAGATGGCGATGCCTCACCTTGCTCGAGCGGGGCAGCTCGGTCATCTCCAATGCAAGCGGGTCTAAGCCGTCTATCGAACCAAAGTCAGCGTTGTAGGGCAGCTTGCTGGCCTCCTCCTCCGACTTGTCGCTATCGAAGTACGAACTGCAGGCGGGAGGGTTTCGTCGACAAGGAGGCCGTGTAGTCGTTAAGTGTAAGTCAGGAATGGTACGATCGACTAAAAAAACTATAATATTTTGTCGTCTACGTTCGGCAGAATAACAGGCAACAGGAGCAAGCAGAAGCGACAAACTCACAGCTGGCAGAACGAACTTGGAGAACCTGACTACCACGTATGGGGTTCGTGTTGTGACCAGCGCAACGCGGTGCAACAGCCTGTAAAAAAGTTAACCGGTACTGCAAGGCACAAGCCACATGCTTTGGGAATGTGACCAGAGCAAGGTTGTGCGACAACCAGTGCAAAAGCACAAGCCAGACCACCGAAATAAAACCTGCGACGTTTTGTGAGCGCTGATTTGAATTGAAGACAAGAAAAACAAAACAAGCCAGCGGCACAGAAGAAATCAACAGCAGTGAGACAGCCTTCGTTGAAAGCAACAACAACAGTGGCCAGATACGAAGCAACACCAGCGATATGGTTTCCGCGTGTCTACACCAGCCGCACATAGTTGCGGCTATAACCGACAGCTGAAACATGCACACTGTCAAGTATACTCACTACGCGATCACCAAGGAGGCCTGAGCTTGTATCCTCAGATCTCCGTCAAGCCCTGCCCCCAGCCGCAGCAGCTAAACCAACACAGCGATGACCAAGACGGAGAGAACGGCAAGGGAAGGCGTGATGAGGCGAAACACAGGAGCATCAACTTATCGGGGTCGTCCATGAAGTTGCAGGCAAGAAATAAATTTCCAGTGCCAGGAAAAGCAAAAAGAACAGAACACCATCAGAGTGATCGGGGCGTGGCCTGTGTAATACTGCCGCGCGCACCGACCCTGTTCGAACATGCCCAGCGAGACAAGGGGGGCCACGCAGCGACGCGGTGCCGGAGGTGGGGGCACAGCAAAGGCGTACGGATCCGGGAATGTCCCCGCTGCCGCTAGAACGCAGTAAACAGCCCTTCTGGGCGCCTCATGCCCCTTGTCGAATTCCCCGCCCCTCGCGGTATTGTGGTTCGTCCAATCACCATTGACGCTGAAAGGGCCACCAATGGACCACCGAGAATCGACAAGGAGGAAATGCCCCACGCCCACCTTAAGTCAAACGACGCGTTTTCGGAAAGCTCTCGAAGTTTTCGGCGCCGCCGCTCCTTCTGCTGTATATAGAGAAATCGAGCTTTGAAAAACACTCCAGGGGGTGCGCAATGGCAATACAGCAGCTTAGCGCCGGCTGACCGGACGAAGGGTCACGACGTCGAAACAAGCGACGGTTTCAGAAAAAACAAATAATCGAGAACACTCAGGCATCATC